AAAAAAAAAAAAAAAAAAAAAAAAAGTGTAACTTCAAAAATGTTACTTATCTTCTTAAACAACACAATCTCACTGAAAGATCTGTCATTCGATCCCATGAGCTCCAAGCAAGTTTTAGGTGGTTCCCAGAAATCATTGAAGACTTTAAGTAAGAATTTCAAGGTAATTTGATTATAAAACCAAACCCTAAATGAAGTGAGAATATCAGTGTCCACGCCAAAGAGACCTAGCTGTAAGGTTGATCTTATCTACTGAAACATCACCAAGGACACGATTTGTGGCATCCTTCTGTGTTAATCTGAGAAAGTTGGATTAAGCACCAAGTACAGGACAACACTCCAGCCTAGAGTAAAGGACCGCTCCAGCAGCCAGGAAGCCTTGCCACCCATCTCTCCAGAACCCCTATCTCCTCAGCCTCCCTGTCATCCTGACCACCAGGTACCTGCACATTCTTCAAGGCCAGCCTCTTCTTCATGTCCTTAAACTGGTTCAGAAAGTGGATCAGCCACTTCCTGCTTCGCTCGTTGTCCTCCTTGCGCTCTGTCTTTAGGTAGTATAACAGCCGCAAGGCTTTGGCCTCCAACAGTACCTGATTCCCTCCCAAGGTGTTCCCTCCGAAGAAGCCCACCAGGCTGACGATGCGGCCAGTGTGCACATGGACAGGAAAGCTAAACCTAGTTAGGTCGAGGGTCCTGTCCTGCTGCCAGGAGTACAGGAGTGGGTTGGAGGGCACACAGAGGCCCTGGAACCTGACACAAACCTCCGTGTACGGGACCTGGGTTTCATTTTCCTGCACCTTCAAAGTCTGCATGGCTTGGTCCAATCTATCGACTTCTGCAAAGGATTCCTGGTCCAGCAATGAGTTGGTATTGGAGACCACCAGAATGGAAGCGAAGTTGGTTTCAGCGTGCATCCTGGAGGCCGAGAAGTTGTAGGAGTCATTGGTGGAGAAATGTCTCTGCACGAAATGCCGCTCTTCCTTGGCTGGGCTTCGGATTGGTGTGTAGTTCTCCTCCAGGTCCTCTTCCTCTGATCCCACGTACCGGAAGCCAGTGCCCAGCGCGGCCGTGAGCAGCGCGGGTAGGAGCAGGAAGACCCAAGGGTGATCGCCCACGGCCGCGCCCAGGCGCGCGAAGGCGCGGGACAGCGGCGCCTCTAGGCAGTCGGTGCGTAGGCGGCGCGGGGCAGCCAAGGGCTCTGAGATCCCCGAGGCCTCCGAGGTTTCTGAGGTCTCTGGTTCGGGTTCTTGCGACCTGGGATCCGAGGTGGCCGCTTCCCCGGAGCCTGGCTTCTCCCAGCCGGGCTCAGATCCTCCCTCTGGCGTCCCCTCCTCTGGCAGCCACCCTCTGGCGGTGGGTTCTGGCTCAGGCTCAGGCTCGGGCTCAGATTCTGGCTCTAGCTCGGGCTTAGGCTCAGTCTCAGGATCCTCCTGTGGCTTCACCTTGAAGGGGCGAACTTTCATCCTGCAGCAACTAAGGAGTGGCGGCGCAGGACCCGGCCCTGCGTCCCCAGCGACGGTCTCCTGGGCAAAGGCTGGGGTAGAGCACGTGCTCTGACCCCGCCCCAAGGGCACGAGAGCCCCGCCCTCTCTGCCTAACGGTCCTGGGAGCTCCGCCCCTTCCCCTAAAGGTCACTAGCAATCCTGCCCCTTGGTCCCAACAGTCCCAGGAGCCCCGCCCCTTCCACCTAAAGGCCACCCCCAATACTGGAGCTGTTCTAGTATTTGATGCTGTGCTCTGTACTGCAGGCAGGCTGTGCAGACCATGTGTTTCCTGGTGATGAAGAAGCTTGATCGCAACTCTGCCCCTCCACCATCCAGTTCAAATGACCAGACCCCGCATCTACAGAGGAAGTCTTATGTATATGAGGTCTCCTGGTTTTTGTGGCTACCGAATTAGGGTTTCCCATTAGGGTTAGTGGTTATATTTAGGGTTAGGATTGGGTATTAGTTATAGGGTTAGCATTTGGGATAGGAGTAGAGTTTAAAGTTAGGGTTGTGTGGGCTCAGGGTTAGAAGCAGAGGTAGGGTTCAGTTTTAGATTGGGATTTGAAGGTTTTAAGGTTGAGGGTGGAGTTAGGGCTAGATTTAGGGTTAGAGTTAGGGATTAAAGTTAGTTTTTTTTTTTTTTTTTGAGTCTTTTTTAAAAAAATTATTTATTTATGTGTGTGTGTGTGTGTGTGTGTGTGTGGCCAGCTCAGCCCACCAG